TTTTTTTTTTTTTGTACTGGGGATTGAACTCGGGTCCTTGCGCTTGCGCAGCAGGCGGGGAAACCACTGAGCTAAATCCCCAGCCCCTCATGACTTTCTATTTACATGTTCCATATACAATTCAGGGAAAGACATCTCAGCTTTAAGACCTATTGAAAAGAAAGCACTTTATCTTTCTTTTGAACTTAGTAATTCCTCACAGTGCTGATAAAACACTTAGGAGCAATACACCCATTAGGTATAGTTCCTAGATTCTCCCAGTGGGAACTCAGATGTGGTCTGTTCAGGAATGGAGTCCCACCAGGTGCCATGACCAGCTTACCATTGCTCTCCCTGCAGCTTGGCCCTGAGCTGTAGCTCTGGAAAACCAGCATGGTCACTGGGAGATCACTCAGGAATACATTTTGTTTTACAGAGTTCACGTTTTATACATAAAAGTTGTAATGGTATAAAGCCTAGTTCTTCCTTAAGTTTTTATTTCATATATAGATCATATTACTCTATAAATTCAGTAAGTTTTATTTATCAATATAAGGCTCTTAGGTGGCTTTTGCAATTCTCTATTTCCTTAAGATTGAACTGTATGTATAAAAACAATATATTCAGTTATCTTTCCTGGATTGGACTTTCTGTGGTTCTACCAATTTTATTAATCTTCCCAAAACGTCAAATTTTGGGCTTTTTGCTTGCTTTTTTTTTTTTTTTCTGTACTACCATTGAGCAAAGAGTAGTGCATACTAGGCAGTTACTGTACCACCACTACAGTACATCCCTAGCTCTGTGTTGTTTTTCCTTATGTTTATTTTTTGTTTTGTTAGTTTAGCCATTATTACTATTTTCTTCTTTCTTTTTTGAAAGAGATATATATATATATATATATATATATCCTCCAGAGACTCATACATGGTGGCAAGTGCTCTACCACTGAACTAAATTTCAGCCCACTAAATAATACATTTTCTAATTTCTATTGTGATTTCTTCTTTTACACCTCATTGATCATAAATGAATTGTTAAACTTTCAAAGTTGTGAGTTTTCTACTTTCATTATTAATTTCTAGCTAATTCCACTGTAGTAATAGGACTTACTCTGAATCTTTTCAAATCCTTAATTTTCTTTTAAGTTCTTAGATTCTGCATTGAACAAATACATTCTTCCCGTGTATTTTAATAAAATTTTAAGAATAACAAGGTAAACTGTATAATTTGCTAAGTCTTATTCTCTGGAATGTTCCAATACTATTCATAAACTTGAATTTCAACTTAAAATCAAGAATCTAAACAAATTTATACTTTAAATTATTCAAGAAGTGAATCTCTTTGTCTGAAGCTGTACTGTCTGATGCAGTAGCCACCAGTACCTGACTATTAAATTTAATTTTTTAACAAATTAGGATAAAATTTAAAATTTAGTTCCTCACTCAATAGCCACATTTAGTGACCACACTTAAGTATTCCATAGTTACATGTTATTGTCTACCATATTGGACTCTGCAGAATAGAATGGTCCCATCATTGCAGCAAGTTCCATTGTCCAGCACAGCCTAGACACTCCTGCTGGGTGCAGGCCAACCTTTAAATTGGTTACTTTAGGGCCAGTTGCCCATCCTACTCCACTCAGCTGACAAAGTTTTGCAGCACTAGCATGGTGACTCATGTGAACAGTATTCCATACAAAGGAGCTATTGTGGGAAGCCCTTAAGGACTGAGGGAGAGAGTAACATTCTATAGCAAACTGCCTGATTTTCTTTGTTTTAATCCACTTGTCCTGCTAAAACAAAATATTTGAGACTGGATAATCTATAAAAAATAGAAAAAAATTTTTTTACAGATCTAGTTAGTGGCTGGGAAGTCCAAGATCAAGAGACTAGCATCTGACAAGGGTCTTCCTGCTGCAAATCCATTTCTACTAGATGACATTAATCTATTCATGGAAGTGGATCCCTCCTGGCCTAACCACCTCTTAAAGGTTCTACTTCTTAATAATTACAATGGCAATTCAATTTCAACATGAGTTTTGTTCAAACCATAGCACCTTTCAAGGCCTTGTGCTTATATCACCTCCTATCTGATAACTCTACTAACTACTTTAGTCACACTGTCTTCTGGACTCACACAGAATCTCCCCTTCAGAGTTGATATAGTTCCATATCTGTCACCAACTCTTGATTATGAGTTTTCCAAAGGCCAGGACTATGTGTCTTTGTGTCAGTGCCTGATGGAGGACAAGTCTTGGTACCCTGATGAATTAGAGGAAAATTTCTCTTAGATGTTGTGTGGTATTATGCTAAGAATTAAAAGACCTGGGCTGGGGATTTAGCTCAGTGGTGCTACCACCTGCCTCGAAAGCTCAAGGTCCTGAGTCTAATCCCTGGTACCAAAAAAAAAAAAAAAAGAAAGAAAGACTGGAAGACCTGAATTTTATTCTCCCCTCAGTTGCTACTCTACCTCTTATGCTTTTTAGCAAGGCAACCACTTTTGTTGGGCCTCAATTCTCCTTTCTCATCAATTTCAATGAAGAGATTGACTTAGATTAGATTGCTCATTGCCCATTTGTCTTAGTTCATTTGTGCTGCTACAACAACAACAACAATGAAACCAAACCATAGACCGGGTGGCTTAAACAACAAACACTTATTATCACTCTGGAGGCTGAGGAATCCCAAATCAAAGCACCTGCAGATTCAGTGTCCAGCAAGGGTCTACTTCCTGGTTCATAGATGAACTTACCATGTCCTCACATGGTGAAAAGGGCAAGAGTGCTCTCTGAGATCCATTTTACAGGGCACAAATCCCATCCATGAGGGCTCCACCCGCATGACCTACTTACCTCACAATGGCCCCGCCTCCTGATGCTATTGCACTGTGGGTAGGATTTCAGTGTATTAGTTCGGGAGGCATGCAAACATTTGGTTTGTTGCACCATTATACATGAGTTAGTATTGTATGAACAAAGGATGCCATGGTCAGGGAAGCTGGGGAAATACGTAGTGCAAAGTGATGAGTGGGTATTTTTTTTTTTTTTGTACCAGGGATCGAACTCAGGACCTTGTGCTTGTGAGGCAGGCAGCGGAACCACTGAGCTAAATCCCTGGCCCTAGTGGGTATTTTTTAAATGTAGGGGTTCACAGAATCTGCAAAATGCTAAAGCCCATTATGGCACTCCAAAAAATGTGTAGAATATGCAGTTTCTCAGATTTATTTGATGGAACATGGGTCTGTACTGAATCTTCTATTTCCCTATTTTTATGGCTTTAAGGAAGATGCTGCCCGGAGTCTGACTCGGGTGGCACTGGGACTGTGGACTCCTAGAGCCACACATTTAGACTTCTGCTTCTCTCAGCCCCTGCTTCTTTATCTCCCTTCCACTCCCAACCTCACCCAAGAGAAGAAATTGGAGCAGCTCTACTTAAAACGCCGGTCAGGGTAGGGATGCATGCACATTCAACTTTGACCTCTGATAATGAAGTGATGTCAATGGAATCTAAAAGAACAGCTGCTTTGAAAATCGAAGCATAAGACAGAATGATTTTACTTTAATTTAAAATTGATTTTTTTTCAGTTCTACCATGTTTCTTTCATGATATCATGGATGTCAATGTTTAGCATATCTCATTTGAGCCATAGCTTAATACCCCAGGCTTTCATACCTAGCAACAGATTAACTTTATGTTAATAAAAAAGCAATAATGAGATCATAGAGTTCTTATTTCATATATTATTAATGAAGACCTTTTGAGTTTTGGTGGGTCTGATACTTTACAATGTGGTTGCTGAATAGATTAGAACATATTTTTCCCTACTCAGCAAAAAAGCCCCCAAATTAGGCTATGTGACTAGAAAATATTTGCAACAAATAACAAAAATGGCCACAAGGCATTATGGGATAGGAGGTGATGAACTTATCTTTAATCTGGGATGCCAGGAATAGCAGCATTCCCATTGCTGAAGAGTGAAGCAGAGGATTCTACCCGTGGGTTGGAAAGTAAAAAGCAGGGTTACCTCTTAGCTCAGAGCTGAGTTCTGTGTTTGTGCTAAAGCACCACATGCACTGGAGCTTATTAACACTGGTATTAAAACCCAACATTTCTTGTATGCCTGCAACACTCTTCTCAGTACTTCAAATGCATCATTGCATTTGATTCCAGTGGCAACAGGAAGGAGGTATAACCTGTCTTCTCAGGCAGAGGCTAAGGGTCTTTAGTGGGAAGCAGCAGACCTGGGGTCTTGAACCTGGACAGCCTGGTCCTGGGCTCATCTTCTTACCCTCAATACTGGATGGAGTGTTGAGGCCTTTGAGATCTGGGTTTGGAGTGGTGCTCGAGATGTCTGGTTGGTCAGAGCTTTGAGTGTTTTCAGTGATGGAACCAATTGCCTGCACCTCTGAGGTACCAGGAAGACATGTTGGTATGGGAGTAATAGTCTAGAAGACTTGGGCCGGGGATTTAGCTCAGTGGCACCACACCTGCCTCGCAAGTCAAGGTCCTAAGTTCAATACCTGGTACCACCAAAAAAAAAAAAAAAAAGCATAGAAGATACACCTCCCAGTCACACTGTGACTATCCAGGAGTGCTGGGCAAAGTCACACACTCATCTACAAGATGACCATGCCACCAGACACCTGGGACCTCTAAACAGTGGCACACACACTGCTTTCACTTCTCCTCTGTACATACCTGCAAGTATCCCATGTCCCAGTGGTAAGCCCTGCTCTGCCCTCAGGCTTTAGGATCTTCTGCGCACCCCGCCATCCTCACAGGAGGCTGCCCCCTTTCACTTGCTGGTGCACTGTCCACAGAACTTGGGTGGCACATGTGCCTCAGACGCTCAGTCAGACCTGCAGGTGGACAAGATGCACAAGGCTTCATCCCCTCTCAGACCAACAGGAGGAGGAGATCCTGTAACTTAAGGGTTCCAGGCACCCCACAAGGACTGTCACCACCTGGCTCTTCCCTACATCACTGGGCTTTGCCTGGCACATCAAAAGTCTGAAAAGCAAAGCACCAATTTCTTCAATCATTTGATTTAGAAAATGGAAGAAACAATGTAAAGTCGACTTAGCCAGAAAGGATATAAAGTTGACTGAGCCAGTGCCCTTTCCATGCTGAAACAAAGTTCAAGGAAGCTGTGATTTAAATACTAATGACATTTTGGTTCTTGTATTTTTTTTTAAGGCTTTTTGTTTGTTTCTTTCTTTGCAGAAGCAGTCAGGAGAGTGACTAGAAGCTTATTCATTTGCAGGCTTTTTCTTTTGGAAATGAACATGCTGGCACAATTTTAATTGGGTTTTAGTTGTTGTTGTTTTAATTCTCACAGTGATGGCTTGGCTATGTCTTTTGGGACTGCGAAGGGAAACTGGCATCTGGTGTTTGAGGATTCTGGGGATTTGCACCATATTTATGTGTAATAACTATACAGTAAATAAACAGAATGAATAATTAAGTGAATAATGAGTTTCTCAGAAAAGAGGATTCCTCTGAAGACATCCACAGAAATCCTCATGTTGGCCCAGCCTGCCTCCTGCGTGGTGATTCCACAGTGTTCTTACTGTGTCATTGCCCTGTGGAAACCAGCGAGGACATTTTCCACACTGAAACCAAGCATGCCATTAATCAAATGAGGACATTTTCCTCATTTGTGTTTTTTCTTCCAATTGCAGCAATGTTAGATTTCTACTTCTAAGAATGATCTATTTAACTCTAGAGAGATATATTTGCCTCTTTAAAAATAAAATCCATGAGGTTAAATTTCATTGAATACTATTCCTCTGAGGAACTGAAAATTTAAAATTGCAGGAATTTGTGGCATCTTGTAAAATTACATAAATGCATCCTAATATCCAAATGAGCCAATACAAGGTGTCCTTCCTTCTAGATATAACCAAGGCTGAGGTAAGTCATCCCAGAGGTAAAACCCACTTGCATAATTATACTACTTTCATGTGCTTCTTCAACCATTTGCTTGAATGTTTTTACCTATCCATTCATTTGTTCATTCATCAAATATTTATTGAGCATTTATTAAATGCTGGGCACTTGTGCCAGGCTCTGAAGATACCCAGCTGAATGAAACCAGACCCACCCAGTTCATTCTTATAGGGATCAGATAATGAAACAGATTGCAACTATGATAAGTTCTACAAAGGAGGACATGTTAGTCTGCTCAGGCTGCTGTAATAAAACACCACAGACTGGACGTCTCACATGACAGAAGTTCATTTTCTCACAGTCCTGGAGATTAGAGATCCAAGACCAAGATGTCAGCAAGTTTGGTTTCTTCCAAGGGCTTTCTGCTTGGCTTTCAGGAGATCATCTTCTTGTAGGGTCCTCACATGACCTTTCTACTGTGCCCATTCACACCTAGTGTCTCTTTTTGGGTCCAACTTTCCTCTCATAAAGACACCAATCAGATTGAATTAGTGCCCACCCTCAAGGCCAGCCTTATTTTAACCTAAACTCCTCTGTAAAGGCCCTGTCTCCAAATCCAGTCACATTCTGAAGGACTGGAGGTTAGGATTTCCACATAGAAATTTGGGAGGAACATATTTCAGCTCATAATAGAGAGGTATCTGGACAGTCGAAGTTCTTAAGAGGGAAGAATCAAATAAGCAGAGCATGGGGTGGCTCCCCTGAGGATTCAGTTGGGATCTACAAGATGAAGAAGGGCTAATGAAGCAAAGAGGAGATAGAAGCATTCCAGGAAGAGGGAAGAGTGTGTACGGAAGCCCTCTTTGCGGGGGGGGGGGGACACACAGGAGAGACTGAAAGAGGCAGGCCTGGTTCGGAGGAGCAGTAAGGCCCATCATGTAGTGAGGATGAAGCTAGCCTTACACAAGAGGTGGGAGAAAGGCCGTTCAGGGCCTTGTAGACCATGGCAAGGAGTTTTGTGGTTTTTCTCAAGAGCAATGGAAGACCATCAAAGGTTTCTAAATGAGAGCAGAGGTACTGGCATGACAAGATTTGCCTTTGAAAGTATGAGCCTGGCTGTAGGATGGAAAACAGACACATAGGACTCTGGTAGACCTTCTGGCAGAGTGTTGGTGCAGGAACATGTTGCAGCTATCCAAACCAGACATGGAGTACTTTGCATTCAAGAGGTGAGATAGGATCGACAGGAAAGGAGTGTATTTACTGTGGGGTAAGTGATTGGATATGATAGGTATTGGGAGACAGGAGTTGGTGACACATTAGATATGTTGGTTGAACTTTGGACGAGGGAGGAAATGACAAGGTTGCTTCCTAGATTTTTTACTTCCATAACTGGGTAAATGATGCGGTAATCAACAGGGTCAAGAACACCTGTATAGGTTCATGCTTGAGCTGAGTTTTAATCATATTGACATCAGAAGATACTAAAACTGCTACTTGGCCACTTTTTGTTACTCAGCACAAGTCTCCTTCTCCCTATGTGCTGTTCTCCTTGGAACACTCTTTCTTGCGTATCTTTCACTACCTGTCCACCCTCCAGATCCCAGCCTGTGTCAGCTTCCTTGAAGTGAAACCTTTCAAATTCCTCAGACTAGGCTTAGTATTGCTTTCATAATCTCCTATAATACCCTGTGCTTTCCCTCCAAAGCAATTGTTATGGTTAAAATTACATGATCACAACAGGTTATGGTTTAAATTCCATTTTTCTCACTGGAATGTAAAGGCTATGAAGGCTATGACCACATCTTTTTAATTAGTACAGCATACTTGGTGGTTCTGGAGCCAGACTTTCTGGGTTCAAATCTTGACTTCCCTACTTCCTAGAAGTATCATCTTGCTGTATTTA